GTAAGGCATAGTTTGGCTATAAAGGGTCAAAAGCTAAAATGTTGCAAACCAGTAGCATAGTCTGTGATGCAAGTTTTTCCATAAAGACACCTAAGGCCAGTCCCTGGCACATGCCTGTCGTAAAAAAGTAAAAACAGGAGTTGTGTAAGTTGGACAGTGTGCATCATGTTGGTGCCCAACCTGCCCATGACAGCCACTAATTACACAGTACAGGGTAAGCAGTTAAGATACAAATATCTTCACCAAACCTGCAGTAACTTGCACTATATTGAGAACACTGACATGGTAATTTGTGGAAGAGGCAAACATCCAAATACATCTCACCCTTGAAACACATACCAAACAGAGCACCTTGACCTCAGCAAGAAATGTCTGTCAAAATGTCTGTTTTGACTGCTAGGGAGCCGCAGTAAGTAAATTTTGTCTCAACTGGACTCAACTTTCCCCTTTGTTACAACCCCCTGCACCAGCAAGCATTCACCCTACTGAAGTGTCTTTGAGCAAGGAGCTGACTCCTCCACAGCACCAGAGTGACTCTGCACTTGCTGACCTGAGTTGCCATAAAAAGTGAGGACTGAGCAGAGAATTTTTTTCCCTTTAGGGGATAAAGAAAAACAACAACTTGTTTTTTGGACATTCTTTGGTCAGTCTGGACCTCACAGGTCTAAAATTGGCAACACAGTTACATTGGACAAAATAATGGAACATGGTAAAAGACACTACATCAAAAATACAAACATGGTTGTGAAGGTGACTGCTGTCCCCTCATAATAATTACCGTAGATAAATCTATATCTATAATCAATATTTCAGTAACAGTTTATTAAAGGACCATGTGTAATGTGAAAGGGGGTCACTCGTGGGCTTTATGGTGCTTTATGGTGAGTTTCAGCTCATTGTTTAGCTGTCATTAGCAGGTAAATTCTGTTTGGTTTGTCTCTTCTGAGCTACTGTAGAAACATGGTGATTCAACATGGCAGCATTCATGGATTTAAAGGCTCATTCTAAGGTACAGAAAACATAACAGATCCTATATTCAGGTGATTAAACATAGCTAGGTTTTATAGCTATGAATATTTCTGCCAGTAGACCCTCCTAAATGTTACACACTTGACCTTCAAGTCTTTGAATTCATAGTTTTTAAGTATGGACTTAAGGTCCTTATTGACAAATCCTGATTCTGATTGTAACTGCAAATTGTTAAAAAACACAGGATCTGTGGAGATGTACTATTAATCAATGCAATAGGTTTTAAAATGTCATGTTGACCTGGCAGAGACTCCTGATGAAACCCTCAAGGGACTGGTCAAGAGGTCAGACGTACACAGTTAACAGAACTGAGAGTGACTGATGGTTTGACTCAGACCGCTGTCCCAAGGTGGGATCAAGAAGAGGTCAATATCACAGTTTTCACTCTTTCCAACCCCAAAGGATTGTGTTTCTCTTATCAAAGTGAATTTTTGAAAAATCACAGAATACGAGCTTACTCAAAGCACAGTTGCCTACCTCTCTGTTCAAATCTCACGCTACTTCTTCATTTTGACCTTACTGGTCAAACAGTTAAATAAAATAGGACAAGGGTGGAGTAAAGGAGGGAGGGTTGCAATTGGATAAAGTAATATTGCGACTGAAAAATTTTGTTGTTTTCCAGAAAACTTGGTCATCCTAGTTTTTCCAGTCTAAGTAGATGGAAGTAGGGCACTGAGGCGGGGTGTCAGAGTTCCTTAAAGGCCTCACTGCACATCTGCACTGTGCAGCAGAGGACACACCACTAACAGGAACCAGATTCGCTTCATCTAAAGGTCAGATGCTAGAATCTGCGGCTACACACGCTTACACCAGGAGATATTTGTGTGTTTCTGTGTCAGTCATATTCTGACATTGTTTTTGGAGATTATTGTAAATGACAACACTGGCGATCTGCAAAGACTCAAATATAATCCTGTTTTTAATTATGCTCCGCGATTTTTACTGCAAGATGGGAAAATTTGACCTCAAAAGACATGCTGGAGATACTCGTCTGCTCTGAGTAATCGCGACATCTGTGTGTACATTCATCTTTATAAGGTGGAATTCCCCCATAAAACCTACTCACTTCATGATACTGCAGCTGCTCGTCCTGCTTTAGATGGACTGTCAGCACTGTGGTCTAAAGGTGGGACTCTGTGGTCAGTGAGCAAAGTGTCACCTCTGGCTGTCGTCCTAAATATTTCAAACATGTACTGCACATGTGTTGTTGGCACCGTGAGTAATCATCGGGATTCCAGCTCATCATCACCATCATCATCATGATGTTAATGGTATGCCTCTGCGCATCATTGAGAGCAGATTCTTATTTATCGCTTTTATTAATCTCCAGAGGACAGACGTCTTCCACAGCCTAAACAGACAGGACATCTGCTTCAAAGGTTCTTGCTTATTAGTCAACGGTCAAATCAGCTGCAATAAACAACCTGGCCTGAATGGAGACAGTAAATAGTGAGATTAAACAGGCCACATTAACATCTTTCTGGTTCAAGTGTCGACACCCAGTGACAATGAAGACTATGATTCGTTAATAATGAGTCTGTACAACAACAGCAACATGGCCCTGGTTGCAGTCAGTACAGTACATCTGTATTTCTATTCAGGTATTTTCTGCCCAATTTTTAAAAGCAGAGAAAGTTAACAGCAGTGCTTTGAGCTAAATGCTAACATCAACATGCTAACACACTCACAATGACAATGCTAACATGCTAATGCTAAGCTGGTATACCACTTTCAACATCTTAGTTTGGGGTAACATTTACTAATTAGCACTAAACAAAGTGCAGCTGAGGCTGATGGGAATTAATTAGTTTTGCTACTTTTTAGTTATAAACCAAAGTATGGTCTATTGTACAGATTAAGATTTTGACCTGATGATGGCGCTACAGAGGAAAAGTCAGGGGATCACTAAAGTTATTAAGTAAATAAATGTCTTTTTCAGTTTTAAATTCACAGAGCACATTGCGTTATCCAAGTTCAGCTAAAGATGACATTGAGGGAGGGGGATGATATTAGTAGTTGAGTTTGTTAACGATATTAAACAAATCTAAGATATTTTTCTTGAAATAATAAATTCCTAAAAACAGTTGAAATTGGTCAATTAATTATTTATTAGTAGCTGATAAATAAAAAAATAAATAAAAATAGACAAACATCTGAGACAGGAGTCCACAGATGTTTGTACCATTGAGCGATTTGTGGTGAAAATACAGCTGCTTTGACTTTGAGACGTATGGGGCCACCATCAATGCAGCTCGAGGGTTTTGTCTCCTCTGGCTGCCAGTGAAGTCCCAAAGCATGAGACAGGAGGTGGGAGCTCGCCAGTATCAGCCCATGATATCATGAGAAAGGAAGTGAGTTGTGCTAAATGTTCCTAAGATCGTATTTATGAAGTCCTTCTGAACTGCAAGTGGAAACAAAGGGAGCAGACTTAAACACTGACATCTGACACAAGTTCCTGCACAGCGTGTGAACGTCAGCATCAGGAACACGAGAAGGTTAGATGTTTGGATTGTGTGGGTATTGTGTCCACCCCTATGTTACCTTTTGGACAGTGCCATTTTAAAGCTGTACAAAGAAGCTACTGCAGGGCTATTGTATTGAATTCTAGCATTTTATTGTATGTCCTCTTGTATTTATATTTTCCTTTGCATTAAACAGATCAATGTCTCTTAAACTGTGGCACTTTCTGCACTGTGGCATGGTGATTCTAACTTCATCAGATCTCTTTGAGCTTGTTTGTAATAAAGTGACTTATTTTATGAGTAAGGTCAAGACCGGCTCTATGAAAAGACTTTAAGATAATTTTGACTGACATACTTAACAACTGTAATTTTACAAAGCATAAATGCCAATATTGCATTGGCATAGTATACTATATATCCCAGAATCTCAATCTTAGTTCCACTTGAAGTTTTGCCAATGCTTTTATAGTATTGGAGGTCTGAAATTGACAAAAATAAATGTGAATTTAATGATTTTGAGCAAACATTTGGGTTTGTATTTCTGTGGGAGAAAATGTTTTTCATGTTAAACTGAGTTATGTTGCCATATGGAAACACGTCATCGATACTGGAGATTTAGTTCCACGTGTCTCTTAATTTGCTACTTAAGCCCAATTCAAAAAGAACATTTTTCACCACGCTTTAATAACTCATGCAGAGAGGTGGTAATCTTTCACACTCTTGCAGCCTCATCAAAGAGAAGATACTGTCTATGAAGCAATGAGTATTTTTCAAAGGCTGCTCAGGATCAAAAGATCATGGGAAGACTATAACACAGCACGGCACTCACTTTTGCTAAATCCTCTTTTATTGATGAAATTTCAGTCTGGGATCTTGGTTGAATCATTATTGAAAGCACACGAGTCAAATCTTAAACTCTTTTCACACATAGTGCTCCCAGTATGAAGCTCTGACTGATTCAGTCATTCAAGGATGGTTCCCACACAGTTGTTGTCACTGCCAATACAAACTCTTATTGTGACAAGTTTTACTCTAAAGCTACACTATGCAAAAAACAAAATATATGTGCTCGAATGAAATATGCTCTTGTATAGACACACTAATTAAAAAAACACACAATCAAATTAAAATAGATAACCTACGCAGCAGTGTGCAAACAGTCCCTGGTTGTTCGGCATAAGTGAACATACTGAAAGTTTTCTGATGACCTTACCTGTTGTCTATTCACTTAACAGAGTTACCTTAGCGTCAGACCAAAAGTTAAAAGTTACAACCAACACTCAGAGAGTATCAGAACCAGATTAAACTTTAATCTCAATAGAAGAACCTCATTTAAAACGTGGTTTTCTGTAACATGTTGAACTTGGCTACCTCTCATTAGTGAGAGCGTATGTGCACAAATTCTGGCTTAAATCTGCTCATCAAAACTGGATTACGAGTAGGAAAACACTCATAGTTTGGAAGTGGAGAAGTAAATACAGACAAAACACCTCACTAAACACAATAACATCTGTGTGACAATCATTTTATATGAAGAAATTAGGATTCTGTTCTTACATTTAATACATTTACTGATTCAGGGCATCAGTTTTTGAATCATATCAATCTAAACTATCAGATCACCATCAGAGTGAATCAGATTCTTTGTGAAACTGACAGGAACTAAACCATATACAGTATAGCTTTAACCCCTCCTTCACACAGCTGGTTTCACTGATAGCCATCACAGTGCTCAGCTGAAGGCACTAATTGCATTGAGAAGTGTAAGATACCGAACTTAAATAAAGGACAGATTAAAAGCCTTATATAAAATCTTAAAACAGATTCATGAATATATTTTAAAGCCCTCAAACAGTTCAACAAAGCAAGTGAGGACTTAGAAATATCATAAAAAATATCATCAGGCTTGTGCAACATAGAAATCTTGATGAATGAATCAATAAAAACGATAAACAAGAACAGACCACATGACTGTGTCAAAAATATAAACACACTTTTCATCCTTCTCATCTTTATGATACCCAGAGTTAGAAGGAATGGGAGTTTGAATTATGAATTTCTGAAACAAAATGAAGCCGCATAATTCTAATGTGACTGCACACAGTCATCCCAGTCATCACCCAGTGGACTCCAGAGACAACAGGTCATTACGAATACATCACAATACACACATATTCTGCTCATTATCCACCAATTGCTTACAACTGTGAGGCAGCAGAGTGTCATCATGTGCTAATCACATGTGAGGATTGTCTCTCTCTGTGTCTTTGGCCAGGTTCTGCAGCAGAGACCTCTGGAAGGCGTCGTCACACGACTCAGGGATCAGAAACTCCAGCAGCAGGTCACAGATGCAGTAGATCAGATGCCTGCACATAAATACACAAACAGGGTTAATGACTGACTGACATCAGCTGTTACTGATGTTATATGGATAATATGGAATATGAAAATTATTCAGATACAGCAGATGTATTTAATTCTATCTTAAACATCAACATTGTAGTGTAGGGTCATAAAATATATTTTTCTTGTTCTGTGTTCCTAATTTTTACCTCATGATCAGATATTGAAAAAAGAACTGAGGGGTTAGAAATTGTCTTAAAAGTGCTTGCCAACAGGCCATGGGAGCTTTTCAGATTTTGTCAACAGCCTTCTCATTTCTTCATTCAAACCACATTTATTTTAATCTTGCAGGCACAAATCTCCTTTTCTTTATCGTATGCAGTAGGGCCCCAAGAGTTATTATGGCCCTGTTTTGTCAATAGCTATCACATTTTTCAACAGAGACAACTGAGCCTCCACTCACTATAAACACAACCTCCACTTATCATCAAGAAAATCATGAAATATGGCCCAGTGCAATTCTGACTTGTATTTGTTCACTAACTTCTCATTCTGTTTTCCCTTTGAATTTCCACCTGGAGCATGACCAGTTACACAGCTTTATTTTAGTCCATTATACTTAATATTTAATATACCGAGTAAATGATGATATATGTATACATATTATTTTTACTCATCGTGGCAGTGTAGAAAACAATTTAAGGCAGAAAATGAAGCAGATTACAAACTTTCGGTGCAATCCAAATATAGATACAGATGAAGGCTTTGCGTTACACCTCTTGTAGTTATACTGTCTAGTGTGATAACCAGATAAATACTTGTTCTGTATACACTATTGATACAGTTCCTAAGCTACTGACTGTAGCCGTCCTAAAATAGCAGAATCAGACGTGTGTTTACCCGACAGTTTGGTTGTTGACTCACTTGTTTATCTGATGGTCCTGTAAAGACTCCAGCATGGTCTCCAAGCTCAGTCTGTACTTCTCACTTCCCAGCATGTCAGTGATAAGCTCTATTCAGGCACAAATAATGGAACAAACCCAAAAGGATAACTCAGCTTCAGGAGCCTTGCAAATAAAAATAGCATTTAAGGAGCATTCAAACAGCTACAGTCTGAATCTAACAGCTGCTAGGTACCTGGAAGCAGCTGCATTAGACAGTCCAGACATTGCTCTTTTGTTTCCTCTCTTTCTGCGGCACTACGCTCTGGCCGTGGTTGGGCAGGCAGCGTGCCGCCTGGCCATACAGCTTCCTGCAGCACTTGTAGGTAAATAACCCAGCAGGGGGCACTGGTAAGGTGGGCAACTCCTACATCCAACCACCTGAGACAGAATCAGTAGTTTAATGTAATAGTGGTATCTGTTTTTTCTACTAAATATCAGCCACATGCAAACATGCTTTAACTGATCAGGAATATGAAAGACATGCACACAAGGGGAAGAAACACAAACAAATATTTTTAAATCTCTATAAACTATTGCAGGAGCATGGACATTATTTACTGACATGCTTAGTGGACCTTAAAACTCCCAGAGGTATATGTCAAGTCCAAAAATGGAGGCCAGCATAATCAGTTAACAACAACAGAACACAAGAGATTAGATGAGCACAGTTCCCACAGACTGTCTGGTAAAAACAACCCCAGTGGTAATTATAGATTCCCAGAAAGGAATAAACATTTAAAGAAAAAAAAAATATTTTGAAAGGCAATCTGACAAACCACATTGTGTCTCATAAACCTGCCTCTTATACTAGAAGAGGACCCAGCATCTGGATCTTCAGCTGTATGATGGAAAAATAATGTGCCACAATGTCACCTGCTAGTAAAATAGGTCTGCAGTCACATATTTCATATATAAGTAATATGTAACAATAAGATTATACATTATTATTATTACAAATACACCCTATACACACACAATAAAATCAGCACAGAAGCTGAGAAGTGACTCCTACCTCTCAATAAAGGTACCAAAGAGCAGCCTGATGGTCTTCTGTATGTTCTCTGTGCACAGCCAACTCCACTGGTCCTTCATCAGCAGACACAAAATGTTTAAAGCAACATCTGCCACAGCTGTATCTGCAGTACACAGAACACAGTGGGACACATATGATACACCATACAGACAAACACATCAATGGTGGCAGGGGACTACTAGGAATATTCAGCAGATGTCCCAACTAACTGTACAGTTCTGCCGCACCCAAGTGGTGATGCTGCGTTACTGCATGTTGCTTCCCGCGGTCCTTATGGACATTATGGATAAACTAAGACAAGACTGCTGTATGAATATTAACCTGTCCCATGAGTTTTCCCTGAAGTCTTCTTGTCTTTGCCAGGCAGCTCACAGCTCTGTTTCGATGTCTCTTTCCCATTCGCCCCACATAAAAGTCTTTCCTGCTCTTCGACAAAGCTTTCCAGGCTAGACAGTGACATGCCATTGAGGACCTAAAGAGCCATAATGAGAAACACAAACATGTCAGCTGTTTCCAGTATCCATTTCAAACACACATGTATCAATCAGAGATGGTAAATACAGTATGGTAACTTACAGCACTGCCTTCACTAAAGCAGTATGTCACTTTAGGATGTAGGTCAGGTATATTGAGAGATGGGGAGATTTTGCTTGGGAACATAAGCCTCCTGATGCATGAAACACAAAACCAGAAAATGTTACATTACAGTCAAAAAAGAGAAGATCACTTACAAAATGATAAAAACACCAGAGAAACAAAATAATTTAATGTGCCCTTGGGTGTGTTCTGTAGTGATGTATTAACACCCTGCACTGTTTGAATTGATTGTTGTGAGATTGAAGCATGACCGGTGGTCAGCTGTAGGTTAGGCAGTGGTTTCAATATAAGAGTAAGTGGATAAATTGTCACATTTTTCTCGAATCTTTGCTTTTTTCCTGTAAATCCATCAATTATGTTATTCAAATAACTCAATCTCAGAGTGGAAAGTAGTCTTTGGTTTAACCAGTCACAGTCATAATCAAATGCAAACTGTGATGACAGGGTCACAAAATGACACAGCATTGTTATTAAGGAGTCACATAGCAAAAATGACTGAGACAAAGTTCTGACCTGTACTTTCTGTTGTCCATTGTTCTTCCATCAGCATCTCCTTCAAGCTCTTCTGTTGGACTGAGGGGCTCAGGATGAGGGAAAGCTGTCTTCAAGGTGTCTAAAGCATTTTCCATCATCTTTAATGGTGATCAAGTCAGAGAAGACATGAGACAAATAAATTCCCCAATTTAAAATGTACAAAATGTAATGCATAGTGAGCTTTAGAGGTACTGATAGGTAGATTTGGTTCCCACTGGACAGAACCAAGCAAATTGTTCAGGTTTCTTCAAGTCTTCATGCTAAGCTAAGCTGACAGATATGAGAGTGGTATCATCTTACTCTTGGCAAGAAAGAAAATACATGTATTTCCCCAAATTCTTCATTTTATCTTGAGTGCGTTCATTTTTCCCTCATTTTATCAAAGGAATGCCTAACGATCATGAAAACTGTCAGAGTCTGGCTTCACAAGATCTCCAGGATGTAGATTCTTTCTTACCTTATCAATTCTTGACTTGACAAATGGCCTTCTTCCAAAATATGTGCAAACATCTGAGTTTAGAGCCAGAAACTCCTGCATGTCCTCACTGTTGGATGTCTCGGGAATACTGCTCAGTTGCTAGAGAAAAAAATCAAATCAATCAAATTACAGAACCACAGGAACCATTTATTTACTGGAGTTACGACCCTAATACCTACTTTAAGGAACGTATCCAGTTGGCTTTTACGAGCTTCGACCTTGTCGTTGTCTGCATTGCCAAATGGGAGGTCAGGGAACATTTTCTTTGGACCTTTGACATCTGAAATCCACAACAGTAACTATGTATCTGTCTTGGTATACTAAGGTTTCACAGTGAATTGAAGCAAAGAATCATTTCTTACTCTTGATAACTTTCTTGACTTCAGGCTTTTCCTCTAAACGTGTTTGCAAGTTGAGGAACTCGCTGTATCTCCGGTTAACAGTGTGACAGGACACCGGTTGCAGGGAGCCACTGTTTTCGGCTTCAGCCACTGTCTCAAACTGTAAAACAGAATGTGGTTGTTGATGTTTGGTGATCAATAATACATACTCAAATATCAGTCAGAGGAAGCATGAGGTGGCATTACCTTCACAGTGTAGAGCTTATAGGGATGACTGCCTGTGCCACGCTGCTCCTTCGCAGTGACAGTGCCAGAAATTTGCACATTCTGGATGCTCAAAGTTGCAGCTTGGTTATTGGGGGAATCAAAGTTACAAGGGGTTAGACAAAGTCTTCTTGGAGGACAAGTTGGGGATTTCTCTTGGGCTATACCCGCCGGCCATTGGGAGTCCTCGGGCACCACCACCTTCAACCCAAGAGTTTTCAGAGGGCCGAAGCAGCCGAAGGCCTCATCTTCCTTCGCATTGATCACGTTGCAGAAGTTTGTTGGAGGACCACAGTCACAAAAGCCTCCTGTCAGCTCATCTTCAGAGTCTGAGTGAATTAGGGAGTCCAATGAAATAATTTTGGACTCTGGTGAGTGGGAGTAATGGTCAGATGTGAGTGAACAGCAGTTCACTTTGCATGGTGTGAGCAAACCTGTATGGCAATTTTCTACTTTCCCAGCAGACATCAGGCTAACCATGCTGCTCTGTGAGGAATCCTTCTCACAGAGTGAACTCTGGCTCTGTAGATCATCGACTTCAGAGGTACTTTGGCTGGTAAGATCAGAAGAAGACAAGGACTTGCACGTGGTCCAGGATTCCTGCTGGAGCTGACATCTGTATAGTGCATCCTCCGGGAGCTCTTCCACGCTGATTTCCTGTGGTTCTCTGGATCTGGTGATTATGTCTACAATGGTCTGGTTGAGCCAATCGGGATCAGATACCCTACTTATGAGCGGCAACAGCATGTTGCAGGTGATGAGTTCTGTAACCACGTAACCTCCAGTCCTGGTTTCCATCTGAGGATATGGAACAAGCACATTTAAGACGAGGTTAACTAGAGCTCTTGAGTAGCTGAGCTCTGCGACTGCACTGCTCACAGCTGGGTGAGGGGTTTCTACTTCACTGTAAAGCTGCCAGAGACTAATACTCTTCTTTTGCGTTGACTGTATCTGTCTTGCCACCATGTAGTTCTGCAGGTGACAGCCATATAGCTCTAGCAGCCGTTGAACCAGGGCTTTTCTGTCCACTTGTTGAGCACGCCTCTTCAGCTCCATTACTGACTCCAGCATTGAATTACGCACCGCTCGTTCAAACTCCCCCTCCACCTCTGGCAGCAGAGTGCGATACCACGAGGACACAAAGTCACGCACCGCTTTGTGGACAGCACTGTGGATCTCATGGTTCAACCTCCACTCATGTTCAGGTGAATACAGAGGTGGGTTCACTTTGCCAAGAGGCAAAAAGTGTTCCAAGTGGAGAAGGCTGTTTGCATCTAGTACGGCACGGGACCCAAGCCAACCCCCGAGAACCACCAAGAGACTGGTGAAGATGCAGAGGAGCCAAACGTTCACAAGGAGATGGAAGAGGACCAACCATGTCAGCAGAGCTCCGAACCCTAACAGCCTCGGCTGTCCAAGGAGCTCTGATAACGTCCAGTGGTTAGAGGTCTTTGTGGGAGGCATTACAGTCAGCAGCTGTTGAAAAAAGACAATGATTTTGTTAGAACCAGTAAGAATAAGAAAGTGGCGCTTCGGATTACTTTTTTTGTCGTATAAACTCTCACACCTTAAATGATAAACCCAATTGCAGCTCTTCTGTATTTTGATGGGACTTTTCCTTGTTGTTTAGAGCTGCAACTAACAAATGTTTTTAATCTGAGTAGTTTCTTGATTTATCGTTTAATCATTTGGTTAAAAAAAACAGTTCGGAAAAATACAAAAACTGACATCCATCCCAGTCCAAGTTGTTGTTTTTGTCCGATCAACAGTACAAAGCTTCTCGGTTTATAATTAAATAAAAACCTCACAATGGAAGAGCTGAAACCAGAGAATTTGGGTATTTTTTCTTACAAAAAAAGTGTTTCCAAATAGTTGATGATTAAACTCCTGTCAGTCGTCAATTAATTGACTAATCTTTGCAGCTCTACTGTTAAATGAATACTTTCAGAGCTGATTCTGTGAGTATACTGTATGTTTGAACTGAGACAGTTAACTCATGTAATCCCCACTGTACAGTACCAACAATGACTTGTTAAAATTGAGACCGCTATGCTTTATTGAATTCAATATGACCAGTTTGGTCATTATCAGCCTGTAATACACAAAACCACACCTGCTGGGTGCTTATGAGATACTGTTTTATATTTATTACTCACTTAGTGTGATTTTATCACCTGATACAGTCTAAGAACAACACACAAATGTAATGCTAGGCTGACAGGGAAGCAAACCAACATAGCTATTATTCTATTTTCTGTATGATATTAACCAGATCAATATACCTACTGTTACTCTTAGAGTAGCCTATATGTCGTATACTCTGGTGACTATATTACACTGTGATGTAGTAAATAATGGCAGCAGCAAACAAATTAAAATGTGGTGCAACCCTATTATCAACAATGTGAGAGTATTAACATCATTAGAGTGGGACTTGTTGCCATGATAATTTGTACACTTAAACTGACAATAAATCTTCTAAAAAGCTTAGACTACAAGCTGTAGCATTTGTGTCTAGTTTTCTTGTTTTTTCTTTGGCACTTTGACTAAACCTTTTGAGAAACACCCCTTGCAAGACTTGTTTACAGATACTGTGCACCCGGCTCTCAACTGAAGTCACAGATGGAGTTAATGTACAGTCTGCAGACACAGGACTGCAGTTATTAGGAATATTAACCCTTGTTGTAAACCCAGCTGAGAGACAATAAAGCAGACATTACCTGAAAGGTTGCAGGAGCTTTATAAGACGAATGCAGGCAGTGTAGTATGTCTTCCTCCTCTGGGACATGGCTTTAATCCTCCTACAAAGATTATCTGGATCAGTCTGCAGGTCGAGATAGACACACTCACACAGTCCATATGGACAGCTAACTGTTAGGTGTCCACTTGACCTGCCAGCAAACAAACACAACAAGCAGCAGATCCCTCTGGTCTCCAACCCTATAGGATGAAAATTGACTTAATCATAAATGAAAGAATTAAAAAATAAATACAGAAATGCTGAAATAAATACAATAAAATAAATTGTATTATTATATTCGTAAATCTAATAAAAAATATTAATTAATCAGAATATAAGGGAATGTATTCAATTTATTTTACATTTAGTTAATTCAACATTAATTCATTCTTCATATTTATAATGTAGAAATACAATTAAGATTTAATATCTTTTATATCCCGATTATTACAAACACGTATACATTTATTTATGTATTTAACTATTTATTTCAGCTTTTATTTATATCGATTTCTGTATTTATTGACAATTTAGTAATTGTTATCCTTCATAAATGCGCTATACTGAAATTAGTACATGAAACATACCTCGTATATATTGTATGTTTAATTGCATTGTTTTAATAATGAAATAAAATATCATTGTATATAGTAATAGTTATAATCAATAATACAAATGTTTGCTTTTTACTCTTCTACATTTATTTCATACATTTGTGTTACTTTGCAGATTTAAATAATTAATGCAAAACAATCAATAAATTAATTATTATTATCATCTCCTCCCTCGTCACAGAAATCCTTAACTCCTCCTTCAGCACTGGTTCTGTCCCCCAAACACTCAAAAGCTGCTGTCAATCCCATCCTCAAAAAACCTCGTCTTAACCCCGACACCATGAGCAATTTCCGGCCCATCTCCAATCTTCCCTTTCTGTCAAAAGTAATGGAACTTGTTGTTGCCTCCCAACTTAAAGCCCACCTCATTTCCAATGACCTAGTTGAACCATTTCAATCAGGTTTCCGCTCACAACACAGCACAGAAAAAGCCCTCCTCAAAGTCATCAACAACCTCGTCCTCTCCTCAGACTCTGGTCACCTCAACATTTTCATCCTCCTGGACCTCACTGCAGCTTTTAAAACCATCAACAACACCATTCTTCTCTCCTGTCTTGAGTCTTCCCTCAACATCACTGGTGGTGCCCTCTCCTGGCTAAGGTCATATCTCACAAACAGACAACGGTTCATCAATATCAATAACTGCATCCCCTCCCTGTCCCAAGGCGTCCCCCAGGGTTCAGTGCTTGGTCCTCTCCTGTTCAACCTGTACATTCTCCCCCTTGGTAAACTCATTCGCCATCATGGCCTCCGCTTCCACGGCTATACTGATGACGTCCAGCTCTACATCTCCACTAAATCCATAACCCCCACAACCCACTCCACTCTGACACACTGCTTCACTGAAATCACATCATGGATGCATGCCAATTTCCTCAAACTCAACTGTGACAAATCTGAAATAATGATCATCAGTCCCAAATCCCTCATCAAGCACACAAACAACCTCTGACTCACACATACGCAACCTCAGAGTCATCTTTGACAGCAATCTCTCCTTGTGATGTCAACTAAATCACCAGAACTGCCATCTTCCACCTGAAAAACATTGCACACCTCTGCCCCTCACTCTCCTCTTCTGCTGCTGAGACCCTCTTCCACGCTTTCATCACATCCAGAATAGACTATTGTAACAGCATCTTGTATTGTTCATCCTCTAAAGTCCTTAATAAACTTCAGTACATCCAGAATTCTGCACCTTGCCTGCTCACTCATACCCACTCCCATGACCACATCACCCCTGTCCTACAGAACCTCCACTGGCTCTGTGTCCAAAAACGGATCCAATTTAAAGTCCTTCTCCTCACTCACAAAGCCCTCCACAACCAGGCCCCCTCCTACCTCGCAGATCTGCTCCACCACCACACTCTTTCCTCTCCAGTCTCCTGATGCCAACCTCCTGTCTCCACCACTGAGGACCAAGCATCGTACCTGGGGCGACAGAGCCTTCTCCATTGCTGCTCCCTCCCTCTGGAACTCTCTCCCCAAACAAATCCGAGACTGTACTGATCCATCCAACTTCAAATCACTGATCAAAACCAACCTTTTCAGAACGGCTTCTAATGTTTGATTCATTGTTGAGTGCTGTAGATATATATCTATATTTTTTAGTGTGTTGTTTTATTACCTTTTCTTTTTTGCCTTATGTGTGTGTCTTTGAGATCCTAGAAAAGCGCTCTATAAATAAAATTTATTATTATTATTATTATTATTTATGAATTTATAATCCAGTAATAAAGGTTAATATGTAGATGATTCAGAATTTGGCCATTCTGCATACTGGGTACTTTTACTTTTGGTAGTTTAGGTAAATTTTGGTGATAATAGTTTAGTTCAGTTTTAATAAGAGTTTGAATACAGGACTTTTACATGTAACGGAGCACTTTCACAGATCTGAGTGCTTCCTCCACCTCTGGGAGTTACCACAATGTAAGTGTGTGTCGTGGATTAGCGCCTCGTTTATTACACAACCCAGAAAAGTAAACTACTAGTTTGTGCTGTATTTCTGTGTCTCTCTCTCTCTCTCTGTCTCTCTCTCTCTCTCTCTCTCTCTCTCCTCTCTCCCTCTCTCTCTCTCTCACTGCATTATGTAAACGGGTTATGTAATCGCGCCGCTGCCGGGCTGGTGAGCAGTTTATGGTCCAGCAGGACTCGGAGGCAGACAACCTGGAGTTTTCTATCCATCAGCTACTGACATGTCTCCTGTGAAGCTCGACAGTTCAGGTAAGTCTCCTCCATTTTGAGGATGTTTCACTGTACCGATGATTCACCTGCTCATAGTCTCACTGCGCAGTCTCTGCACGCAGCCACAAGCGCGTTTGAAGACCCATATGCACTTGAAACGCACATGTTTTTAAAATTGAATTTTGCATGTTTACATATTTATAAAGCAAGGGCTGTTATGTGTTCTGGTGGAGTTGGTAGGGCGATGATCAGCTCTGATCCAGACTGTATGTCATTCAGTACAAACTGTTCTGCCAGCTTCAGTCCTGCAGTATCAGGTTTCAGTTTCTCTCAGTCGACATGTCATTTAAATATGGACAGAGCTGCAGTTATTGCGTTCTTATTAAGATACTGTAGTATTGATAATAGGCTGTAATCGCAGGAGGAAATACTGTTGAGCTACAGCCAAGACCAAGTACAGTATGTGAGCTGCCGGTCCCGGAAGACTATGTTTACTGTATCAGAGGTAGCCTTTACATTGTGCAGAGAAGTTACCCCTGTCAGTGTTTTACTAAAGGTTTCAGATCAGTACTACTGCGGCTTTAATGTGTGTGTTGCATTACTGCTGCAGATGTGGAAGGCTGAGCTAATTCTTACTAATCCATATAGGCTACTGTTGAATCTACAGCAGGAATCATATTTAATAAGATCATCATATGTTTGTGGTGTGTCTGTCCTGTGAGAACCACGTATCTCTCCCTTGGTCAGTCTCAGGCTGGGCTGGTTTGTTTTTTCAGAGGGGTTTTGGACATTTTAGCTGGTCAGGATTAATTGGTTTAACTGGTCACAGCTGGACATGGGTGGTTACAGTGGTCTAGCTGGTCACTATCATGTATTAGCTGGTCAGGCTGGCCAGGTCTTCAGTTCACTTTAGCTGGGATAGCTTGGTCATAGGTGGTGATAATGATGCACACACACAATTGCAGCAGCTCAATTGACAAGAGTGTATTAGAGACTGGGTCAGTGGGGCCAGTGCTCCTGATATGTATTATATATTTTCAAAACCATGCTCAGTTTTATGCATAAAGCCCGTTTCCTGTAATACATAGTTTTGGTCAGATTATATTGACCACAAGCCTCTAAATCAGGCTTCTTTCCTTACCCACAAAAAAGTCTAGAAATAAATAATTAAATTAAAGGAAAACAAGGACTTGTTTTGAAGCCTCCACAGCCACCTTCCTTTACTGTTAAATGTAAGAAATATTAGCCAAATAAAGCATAAAGTTAATGAGAAACAATTATTTGTTGTCTGTAAGTAGAAGAGTGTACACATTAAGGTAAAAAATGTCAGAGCACCTTACCAAAATGATACCAGAATGTATAACATTTATAAAATACTACACACATATCAAATGATTTTAAGCCGAAAAATAATGTATTACACAATTAATACATTTCCAATTTTTTTTTTCAAAAAACACAATTTGACAAACTGTCTATAACTACATTTTTGTCAAATTGTTTCCTCACACAAATTATCATTATTTTTTACCAGGTCGTGTAATATAGAATCCCTCCAGCATCTCCCCCTCTGTCTTCACCCATCCACCAAAATACATGAAAAGAGACAACAATTAGCCTTGTGTTGTGATCAGGCTATTTTAATGCACTGTGATATCAAAAAGTAACATTTGCTGAATTTTCTTTCAATTTAGATCTGAAAAAATTAATACTTTTTACACATTATCAATAATCTGAGTGATTAATCTCAGCTAAATACCTGTAAACACAGCAAACTGATTAGCAACCAAAGCTTGAAGAAATATGTTTATACACTGAGCTAATAATGGACTTACATCGTTTAGGTGACTCCAAACAAATAATGTACTATTGTGCCTGCAAGGTATATATTGCTAACATGTTAGCCAAAAGCATTTTTAGGCCAAGATTATATAAAAAAGTATTGTAACCAGACAAAACGGTCAAAAAGTTTTCTCACATGCATGCATATATTACTGTACATATGTAAATTAAACCATTACATATATTCCCTAATAAATAAATAGTGTACATTCATTTTATACTATAGATTATTACTGCTAAGAACAAGCCACTCCCCGGCTCTAGTGCTGGGCTAAATAGGGCTTCAGCCCATGGCAACAGTGGAGCTGACTGTTAACAGTTATTTCAGTCACATGTTTTTGTTCACGCTGGAATCTGCCATGAGGAGTTCAGTTGAGTTCTGTGTTAATATGGGTTGAGGTTTGTCAGACAAACACTGTAG